AATTCAACATCAAATTCTATTGACTTAATATCATATTAATTATTTACTTTTGTCAGGCACATGCTAAGTACATTAGGTGCATTTTCCCAATCTTTCACTATGTTCTGCCTCATTCTTATTTTACATGTAAGAAAACAGAAACTTGGATGTTTAGAGATCAGTGATAGTCAGTATAAGAACTCAAGCCTGTTTATTTCCAAAGGTAACCGGTGTCTTGATGCCTTTTTCTGTTTGTTCTCCTCTATTTCCACTGCTGTAGCCCAGCTCAGATCATCAGAGTAGAAGCTTTGCTAGCCAATCCCCAATTAGTCAGATCACGTCATTAATAACACCCTTCAATTCTCTTACACACTCATCACTGGAAACTAGTAGGAGATTGCCTGGAACGTTGAATATTCCTGGTTCCAACAATTTAGTTGCGTGTTTACCAAAAAAGAGTTGTATTTTGTTCTTAAGCCAGACAGTTCAATTGTACTTTTTATTGTGTTACAATATTTAATGAAATACTGTTTAAACTAAGGAGATATGAGTGTGGAAGAGAGCTCTTTCTATGAAAACTAAGCTGAATTTGTTGGAAAGACAAGACGAGAATAAGTGGCTGAAAATTTTATAATCCATATAAGTATGGAGAAGGTGAACCAAAAATGATTGGGGAAAACTCTTATGGAAACTTCTTTAAGATTCTACATTCCAATTGCCCTTTTGCTGCAATTTAAAGAAACAGAAACATGGGTGTGGTTCATGCAAGAAAAAGAATACAAAACTCCAATTGGCAAGCCCATACTCAAAGAAGGGATCTTAACATTCTCGTATATAATTGCAGGATAAATGTACTCATATGTGTCTTAAGTTAAAATATAAATATCCAAGGTAAACATCTTGTTTTGTTGTTGTTCTCTGATTTGATAAGTTTTGCAAATGACTGACCAAATTTGGTCCCTGATTTTACTGAATGAGAGACCTTCCACCTTATCTCTCATTATCTTCCAAACAGTAATAGTACCTTTCCTTCGACCTAACCTCCATCTTTAGTCTAATTTCTCCATTCAGCCAACAAAAACGTTTTAAGAGCCAAGTAATTAGCATAATTCCTTCTAAAACTCAGCTCTAAACCTCTCTCCTCTTCCCACAATAATTCGGTGATTTTCTCTTGCCTGCAGAATGAAGCTAAAAGTACTTAGCAGAACATTGAAGACATGTAATGGTCTGACTTCCACTCACCTTTTCAGGTTCCACCTCCTAATACAGCACTCTTGTCAGTCACCCACATTCTGGCTATTGCCCAAACGCATGACACCATTCAGTATCCATTCAGAGAGAGCCTGAACTCTATATTTGTATCTCTCACAATTTTACTACATACTTATAAATAGTAGTCTATAGTGGGAAATATATTGTTTATAGAAATTATGTAATACAGAAAATGCTAAAGGTATCTGAATAAATTTCACTGAATGAATTTCAAGTTGTAAAGTCAAGAGTATTGTGCAACATATAGCCTGTGGATGGAGGCATAAACTTGTCTTTATTTTATTTTTTTTAATTTTATTTATGATGGTCACAGAGAGAGAGAGAGAGAGAGAGAGAGAGAGAGAGGCAGAGACACAGGCAGAAGGAGAAGCAGGCTCCATGCACCGGGAGCCCGACGTGGGATTCGATCCTGGGTCTCCAGGATCGCGCCCTGGGCCAAAGGCAGGCGCCAAACCGCTGCGCCACCCAGGGATCCCATAAACTTGTCTTTAATAATCAAAAGTTTAAATGTGTCTATTCTCATGATAATTTAGTAAAGTTTTAAAAGTCTGGATAAAAATGATATTTTGACTGTCCTTATCCAGTTGTCCAATCAGGGAGAGTACCTATTTCCTAGGTGACAAATATCAGTGGACTACTGTGACATTACTGTCCTTGGTTGTCTGTTTCTCTCATTCACATTTTTCCCCTGGAAGTCCTATACCTGTGGACTGTCATAGATGCCACTACTGCATAGAACTCCTAAAATGTTCATCTCAGCCAGAGCACCTCAGTCAATTCCATTCCTCTCTCTAATTGCTTTTGTGTATTTTCAACTCCGCAAAATACCATCCATTATATCAGAGTTTAAAATGGAACTTTCCCAGCAAACTCACTTTTTTCTGCCTTCTGAAACCACCCCCTCCAAGGTTTTATCCATAGCTCTTGGGGGTCTATTTTGCTTTTTATTCTTTCTTGGGCCACAACAAATTGCCAATTATCTCTTCCCATAGTGACTGGATCATTAAGGGCTTTGAAAACTATGGAAGTACTTGCCCCTTTATAGTCAAACTTCTTGAAATATTTGCTCATACTCATTGTATTCACACTGTTATCTCCCATTCACTTTTCAACCCAGTGTAATCTGGCTTCTGTTCCAAAACTTTTATTGTAGCTATTCTTATATAGAAGTAATGAATTACTGCATTGGTGTTAAATTTAATTGACATTGTCTCAGTTGTTAACCCAACTTCTTATAGACTTTGATATTTAGACCACTTATTCTACTTGAAATGAATTCTTTCTGCTTCTGTGATACCTCTCTATCTCTGAGACTGCTTTGTTGTGCTACTCTTTTTAGGGTTCTTTTTCTGCCCTTAAAAAAAAAAGTGTCCATTCTTCAGAGTTCCAAATATTCATGTCTTCTCCCTCTCCGTACTTCTCTGAGCAATCTCATCAACTTCTCTGGCTTTATTTTTTTAAGGTTTTTAAAAATATTTATCTATTGATGAGAGACACACACAGAGAGGCAGAGACATAAGCAGAAGGGAGAAGCAGGCTCCCCATGGGGAGCCTGATATGAGACTCCTGGGATGGAGCCTTACCCTAGGATCGTGCCCTGAGCAGAAGACAGATGCTCAACCACTGAGCCACGCAGGCATCCCAATTTCCCTGGCTTTAGTTACCACTTCTGCCCATGATCACCACTTTTGTGTCTCCAGCTCTGTTATTCACCTGAGCTCTCGAGATGTGCATATTAAACTGCCTCCAGATGTGTCCTCTTCAATATTGCAGAGGCACTTTGACTTTAACTTGCCCAAAGCTATTTTACAAAAGCACAAAAATACTCTCTTATTTGCTTATCTTAGTGAATGGTACCATTCAGTATCTATTTGCTCAAACTATCAATGTTAAAATATAGCTATCGATTTTAACTTCTTTTTTACTCTTTATTCTCCAATCAATATCAAAACTCTATCAACTTTGCTTTTGAACTAGTTCATAAATTCATCCACTTTTTCTATCCCTTCTGCACTACATGGCTCAACCCAGGATGATATCTCCCATAGATATCTGCAACTGTCTTCTGAATGAGCTCCTTGCCTCCATGCTGGCCCCTCTCCAATCAGTTTTCCAAGCTGCAGCAAACTTCCTCTTTCTAAACAGACAAATTTAATCACATTACTTCCCAACTTTCTTGTCAATGTATCCACACTATCCTCAGCATTAATTCTAATCTCTTTCACATGGTTTGAGGGCTCTTAGTGATCAATCCCAGTTGCTCTTCAAGTCCTGCCTTTGCCACTCTCTCCCACTCTGTGGTGCTTCTTTAAATTCCCAAACTGCATCAATTCTCTACCTATGGACCTTGTCCATCCCATGAATCTGCTCCTCTCTCATCAGGCTATTCTCTCTCCTATGACTCCTGCTCCCTCCCCCTGCAATTTATTCATTCAACATACTTTTGAACACTCAGTATGCACTAGGCATTGCTCTAGGTTCTAAGACCACAGTAGGCAGCAAAATGGGTATGTGGTACTGAACTCATGAGGCTCAGGGACTACCGGATAGACAGATAAGCAAATTTGGGTCATTGCAGACCTTTGTGATGAGAGATGGACACTGTGAATCTAAGGACCCAGATGAAGACATTTCATTGCTTCCTAGGGGCAGTGTTATTTGGAAGGTTAGACCTGAGATAGAGAAGTAGGAAGGTAAGAGGCCAGGGAGTTTAAGAAAAACTTCAAAATGTAAACTTCTTACCTTTTCTGCTTTTTCTTTTTTCTTCTCACTCTTCTTAACTCTTACCATCTACATCCAACTACCTCTATTCTTTAAAAACTCTTTGGTTAGTTCTTATGGTACTCCTTGAAGTAAACTATTATTTTCCATACTTGGTGGCATCCTTTTCCACAAAGCACTTCCAGGCCCTCCGCAAACCCACCAGTTTCCTTTCTTCAACTCTCTCCTCCAGATGAAAGTGAAGAAACCTCATTCCATATAGTAGCCATATCATTCCATCTCTTAAGCAAAGCTAACAGCTAACTTGTAACTGACTAGGGTCAAGCCCAGATATTCTTCTTTTTATCCTTCTGCTATAATCTTTCCAATTCTCCATTCTTCCGTTCATATTTTCCAATAATCCACAATGTCAAATTGTCTATGAGAAATAGACAACCCATGATCTTCCCTCATTTTCTAAAATAATACAGCACAGGTCAAGTTTAAGAAGCCTTTCCTCATAGCTTTGAGATTCCTGTCGGACCTTAGGCTCACCAGAATAGGGTGATAGCATTGTTTCTCTTGAGCTTTATTCTAGGCCATAGCAAGACCTTTAATATACAGCAAAAATGAACAATCAGTTAATACCATCCCACAAATCCCTCACTTCTTAAAGGGGCATATCATCTTAAAAAACTTTAGTTCCCTCAGAGCTTTTTATCTTACATAGTCCTCCCTTTTGGGCAGTGGTTCCCATTTTTAAATGTTTTAGTAAGATGAGAAGTATCCTAGGATAAATTTTCAGGCACCTCCAACGTTCATCCTCCCGTGGGGTAAAGAGGAGGGTGGCTTTACCCATGATTGGTCAGTGACTGAAGGGGACTCTGCCTTGCATCAGCAATGTCATTATTTCTTCACTCACTACAGTCTGAAGATTTGGCAGCAGTGCTGATGCTTATATATATAGAAGGAAGCTAATTACTTCATTTCATTCTTTGTTGGAACATTTTCCTACCCACTCGCAAATAATCTTCCCTTTCCTTTAACAGCTCCTCTCTAAAGAGACCATCAATAGAACATTCATCAGAAGAATGACAGTTGGAGCACAGGAGGAGACAACAGAAGCCTGGGCCCAGGGGCCCAGGTTAGAGGTCAGTGTCCACCAACTCCTAGGCAATTGGCCTTGTAGTGTCTCCAAAGGGAGTTCTTAACAGAGGCAGATGGAAACTTCCACTGAATTCCTCATATGTTTGAAATAGATAGGTAGATGATAGATGATAGATAAATAGATAGATAGATAGATGATAGATAGATAGATAGATAGATAGATAGATAGATGATAGATAGATATGTGATTATTTCACCCATAAAGGCGGTCATATTTCTATAACAGTGGCTTCATTAAGGCTTTCAATAGTCATTATTGGCCATTCTTTTGGGGACTCTATGAGCAATCATTTTCTTGGTCTGAAGCAAAAAAAGACTCAGGACACAAGGTTACCTCTTTTAATTTTTGTTGTGGACAAAAAAAAAGACAGCACCTGAGTACCTTAACGAGGGGCATGTTTGTGATAACACTGGAGACAGGGCACTATGTGCATCTATGAACTGTAAAATCTATGGCACTTTAATTAATTTTGATTTCACAGAGAATTTAATGAGTCAATAAAGACAAATCATGGAAACGACAGTACTTTTATCTACCATCTGGCAACTCTTGATAATATCAAATGGCTCAAGACTTCAATAAAGGCTCATCCATTCTAATAGAGAGATTCTTTTTTAAATTTTTTTTTTTTATTATTTATGATAGAGAGAGAGAGAGAGGCAGAGACACAGGCAGAGGGAGAAGCAGGCTCCATGCCCCGGGAGCCCGACGTGGGACTCGATCCCGAGTCTCCAGGATCGCGCCCTGGGCCAAAGGCAGGCGCCAAACCGCTGCGCCACCCAGGGGTCCCCTAATAGAGAGATTCTATGCTTATTGTTCTTTAACATTTCTGGTATATTTGGAAATTTAAGAGCAGAGCTGTCATATATGGTATCTGATCAAAGGGGTGAGTCAGGGTGAATAGGGCCAAAATCCAGCTGGCGCTCTAGTCAACAAGCCCTACATCTTGGCTTCTTCTAGAAGAAGCCAAGCTTCTTCTTCTATATGTATAGCCTAGTGAAAGCTCTGTTTATGAGACTGGATAATAGAAAATTGTCAAATAATCTAAATAAGAATATTGGTTGAAAAATGTACATAGAATTATTAACTGAAACCATTAAAACGGTGGTATATATGTATATGCATACATGAAAAAAGTAGGTCATAAAATAGAATATATCACCCCATTTTTGTGAAATAAATAAATGTAAATATACAGAAATTCAAACACATTCTATCTATCTATCTATCTATCTATCTATCTATCTATCTATCTATTATCTAACTATTTAGGGAAAAAATTGGAAGAATACACCCCAAAATGTTGACTACAGTTATCTTCGGCTCGTAAGTTAGTTGTTTTTTAATTTTTTTTTTTTTAGTGACTTGGCTTTTTCCTTCATCTGAGGAAAGAAGTGCATTAACTTCACTTTGTGTGTGTGTGTGTATGAGAAGGAGAGAGAGAGAGAGAGAGATGATTATTTTTTGTGCAATAAGAAAAAATTAAAACCCTAAATAGTGGATTGAGACTTAAACAATAACAACTAATAATAGTTACTTTAAAAATGACAGGTATTTGTGAACTGAAAACCTAAAATAGTGTTTAAAACCATCAGGGCAGTTAAAAATAAAATCTAAACAGTCTGAGGACAAAGTATTATTTACTGTTTGACTTGGCTAGTTTTTCAGCTGCAACAGCTACGGTTTTATGACAACCCTTTCATAAACCAGAAATAGATGTTAAAGTGAATCATCAATTTAAAAATGTAATTATAGGATAATCCCACCTCTGATATTGATTATATTTAACAATCCCATTCAGAAGAGTAATATTATATTTCTTTTCTGTCAGTGATTTATTACTACAATGTTCAAAGAGATCGTATATAAAGGAATTATGCAAATAGGACTCTACATTAGTTTATTAGGAAAATGAAAAAAAGGAAGTATGTTTAGATGTGGCTTCCATTCCCTGACTTTTTCCTTTGGAGAATTACATTTGGTTAATCCTTGAGACAAGAGACTGAGGCTAATATCTATCAACATATATTAAATATTTATCAGGCATTATACTGGTATATTTAACATTTACACCAATTTTCTAAGGCATGTTATTTACCATTTAAGAGACAGGCTCAAAAAATTTTCCTAGTTTCTCTGTAGTCACATAGCCAGTAATGTGATGGTACCAAAATTCATACTCAAGTCTTTCTGACCCCAAAGACTTTGCTCTGTCCTATTAGACAAGAGTTCTAATGTTTTATGGTGGTGGATTGTATTACGTTTTAGAATTACTCAATCTGCCCTCTTCTATGAGATTATACATCCTGCCCTTTTGCACAAGGCTGTGTGACCAGTTTGGCCACTGGAATATAAACAGATGTGATGAACACTACATCTTTTAAGAGCCATCATGGTATTTTGTCAATTCACTTGCTTTTTTCCCTCTGTCCTATGAATGTCCCAAATAGGGAAGCTTCTTCAATATGGGTCCCAGAATGTGAAGACACATGGAGCAAAGCTGTGCAAAGACAGTAGCTACCAACATAAAGCTGACAAATGTGAACAAGTGTGCATTCATTTTCTATTGCTACATTATAAATTACCACAAACTTAACAGCTTAAAATTACAAATTTATTTACTTCACAGTTCCCGTAGGTTAGATAGCTGGGCATGACCCTATCGGATCACCTGCTTAGGGACTCACTGGGCTGGTCTCAGAGCATCAGCTGCGGTTCTCATTTGGGATTCAGATTCTCTTCTGAGCTCACTGGTCATTGGCAGAATTTATTTTCTTGTAATTGTAGGACTAAAGACCCATGTTCTTGTTGGCTGTTGCCTAGGGGTTGCTCTCAGTTCTTGGGGGGCTATTCTCAGATCTTTTCAGTGTGGCTTTTCCATATTCAAGCCAGCATTGGCACATTGAATCTCCTTCCTTGCAAATCTCTGACCAGCAGCTGGAGATAACTGTCTGCTTTCAAAGGGTGCATGTGATTAGGTTAGGTTCACCCAGATAATCTCCCTATCTTAAAACCAGCTAATTAATAGATTTAATTACATTTACAAAATCCCTTTGCCATGTAACATAACATAATCACATGAGTAACACCAAGGGATAGAGACCATTCAGACCTTCTTAGGATTCTACCACAAAGAGATAATTGTATTGTAAGCCACAGAAATATGGGGAAATAGATTTTTTAAGGTAGCAAACTGACTAATGCAACTAGTTATCTGAACTTGTGTGTCTGTGCATATAAAAAGGAGCATAAATCATAAAGGACAGGCAGCTGAACAAATTTTCACAAAATGAACACATCTGTACAACCACCACTCAGATGAAACAAACAAAAACAAATAGACAAATATCAGAAAATTATTAACAACACAGAAACCCCTTTCCAGTCATTTCCCAGACCCTAAATAACTACTGTCCTATCTTCTAACACCATAGGTTATTTCATCTGCTTTTGAAATATGAATGGAATCTGGCTTCTTCCTCCTAATACTAGATCTAGGGGATGCCTGGATGACTCAGCGGTTGAGCGGTTGAGCTGCCTTTGGCTCAGGGTGTGGTCCCGGAGTCCCAGGACTGAGTCCCACATGGGGCTCCCTGCATGGAGCCTGCTTCTCCCTCTGCCTGTGTGTGTCTCTGCCTCTGTCTCTGTGTGTCTCTCATTAATAAATAAATTTTAAAAATCTTTAAAAAAATACTAGATCTAGGAGTTTCATTCCTTTTGTTGCTTGTAGTCTTAGTTCCCTTCCTGTATGATAGTACATTACATGGATATTCCATAATTTGTTTTTCCATTCTTCTGTTGTTGATAGACATTTGGTTAGTCTCCAGTTTTTAGCTATTACATATAATTCTCCTCAAACTTTTTTTTTACAAAGCTTCTATCCTTACCTCTCCCTTTTTCTGTTCCCCTCCACATCCTCCCCTCCTCTCTTCTTCCTCCCTCCCTCTCTTCTTTCCTTCCTTCTCTCTCTCTCTCTCTCTCTCTCTCTCTCTCTCAATTTCTCTCTTTCAGATGCCTTCATATTTTATTTATAACCTAACCTCTCCCTAAAAAGAAGAGAATCCAGTTTGGATTTTGTCAACTTTTAAAATTAATCTTTAAGAAACTCTGAAAGATAATTGGAAAACTACAATGAATGGATTTAGACCAAACGAGTAGAGAGCTAAAGGAGGGGCAAAAAACAAGATATGATTTCCTATCCTTGGTTTATTCTGGAGCAGAAATTGCTTAGGTGAGACCAAGATAATTTCAGCCATCAGTCTGAGCAGAGCCACACGGTGTAGTGGGAAACAGCATAGGCGTACCATATAAAGATCTGAATCTCTGTTCTTTTTCCTTTCTCTAGATGGAAAATTTGGCAATTCACTACCCCTCTGAGTTTTATTTCCTTCATCTGTCATGAGGGTAATGGGACTTTTCCCTTGAGATGTTTCAGTTCCTTCCCACACTTCTGCCACTTCTCCAAAATCCAATAGCACGTTTTGTCCTAGCTCTAACAACATTCTACCATCTGTTTTCTGTCCATCTCTGCCCTGCTTTTGCTCCCAGAAAACTGACCTCTGTTGACTGCATCCATTACCTGGCTCTATTATTATTTTGCTTCCAACTGGGTTCAGCCAATGAGAGTCACTTGCAAAAGATTGGAAGGAAGGAGGAGAAAGAGGCTGGATTATGCTCCCTCCCCGCCTTACTGCTGTTCTAGGGTGGCTGCTTTCCTATCAGACCACAATTCTAACTATCACCTGACCCCAGTGACACCTATGTCCCTCTTGCATTTTAAACGTAAACCTGGGCAGCCCCGGTGGTGCAGTGGTTTAGCGCCACCTGCAGCCGAGGGCGTGATCCTGGGGTCCTGTATCAAGTCCCTCATCCGGCTTCTTGTGGGGAGCCTGCTTCTCCCTCTGCCTGTGTCTCTGCCTCTCTCTCTCTCTCTCTCTCTCTCTCTGTGTGTGTGTCTCTGTGTGTGTCTCTATGAATGAATAA